AACCACAAAATACCAAATTCACTGGCAACAGATAAGAGGGCACAGAATCAGTAATCTCATGCTAAGGGGACCAAACCCACGCATGGCTACTGAGGCACTACAACTAGCAAGGCCTCAGACATCCACCATTGTGGGATTACTAACGGGGCAATGCTTGCTGAGACACCTTCATGTGGTGGGATTACACAATGATCCCACTACGTGTAGACTCTGCATGGAAGAGGAAGAAACCTCATACCATGTGAACTTCGAATGCGAAGCTCTTACTAGGCGACATTTCATCCTTTTCGGCCTAGAACCGGAAAGAACGCCCCAGGAACACTTGGTAGGGAACCTATTAAAACTAACCAAAGACACAGGACTATTCCAAAGATTCTACCTGAATACGGGGAAAGCAGGTGAATACAATAGACCCAAGAGGCTTCAGTGTTCTGGGCCAAACCTAACCCTACCTGCTTATAACCGACAAAAATAAAGAATTGGTTTTAAATGATTTTATACTTTCGTGCATTCATAGTATTATAAGATATACATCCATTTTAAAAACCGTGAATTATCCGAAAAGTATTCGATGATGCACTAAATTATACGAAAATCGGATGATTGGTAATTGGCAACACTGCTAAGACAATTATTATTGTTATTATTATTATTATTACAAATAAATTAGGGCTGAGGAATGAATCCTATTAAGCCCAAAATTACAAGTTTAATAACAAAGACAATTATTAAATAAGTAATTAGCAAATAGAATGCAAACAAAGCACTAAAAATAAACTTTTAGTTTTCGTTAAAAAAGTCATCGAGTCGGTTTTTGAATACGTTTACTGACTGTGCGCGAACAACACTCGAGGGTAAATTATTCCAAGTAAAGAAAACTCTGTTACAAAAAAAATTTGTCGGGTACGTGTTTTAAAATTTTCTTTGCTCAATTTATACTCATGTCCACGTAGGCGCTCATCTGTATTCCGTGGGAGTACACTATAGAGGTTGGATGAAAAAGTACCATGAAGAATTCTGTAAGTCACAATTAAATCACCTCTTAATCATCTGTGGGAAAATGAACAAATTTGCCATATTAAGCCGTTCTTCATACGATGGTCTGATTCTGCCGAAAGGTATTCTAGTAGCGTAGCGTTGAACATTCTCCAGTCTTTTTTGATCAGAAACCAGATCAGGACACCACGCAGGTCCGACATATTCCATTAACGGTCTAACGTAGGTTGTATAAAGTTTAGAAAATGTTTGAAAGTTCACACGCGTGAAGGACTTTTTTAATAGGTAAAGCATTGAATTCGAACGTTTACATACCGCTGATATGTGCTCTGACCACGTTAATGAAGAGTTCACAATGAGTCCCAGGTCATTATAGGAGTTCACAGTTGCTAACGCACTACCGTTTAGATAATAGTTCACGCACGGATTATTTTTTCCTATATGCAGGACGACACATTTTTCCGCGTTTAAAGGAAGCAGCCAGGTGTCACACCAGTTTGAAATAGTTTCAAGGTAGGTCTTTTTGTAGCTGGGTAGAATCTGTCACAGGATTAGAGTATAGCTTAGTGTCATCAGCATAACACGAAATATTAGAATTTAAGTCTTTGCCTAGATCTGCGGCGTATACCAAGAATAGTAATGGCCCTATGACAGAGCCTTGAGGGACACCACTTAGAACTGGATACTCTGACGAGAACATCTGCCCAACTTTTACCTTGAAGATGCGATTTGACAAAAAATCACTTATCCAGAGAAGTAAAGAGCCGCGAATGCCAGCTTTTTCCAACTTATAAAGCAATCTCTTTTTGGGAACGCGGTCAAAGGCTTTAGCGAAATCAAGATATACGACATCGACAGGCTCTTTATTGTCCACAGACGTAGTCCAATCGTTTAAACAGGTCATTAGGTTTGTTAATGTAGATCGGCCTTTAATAAAACCATGTTGTTCTCTTGGCAAGACGCTCTTGAGAAAATCAGACATATAATTGGTTAGGATGGATTCCATTATTTTACAGGCAATTGGGACGAGGCTTATTGGACGATAGTTGGATGGACTGAGTTTGTCACCCTTTTTAAAAATAGGTGTCACCGAAGCAATTTTCCACATTGAAGGAAGTGTGTGAGATGTAAAGGAAGATGTCATAATAAAGTAAAGCCAAATAAGATGCGCATTCTTTTAAAAGCATTGCGGATAAATTGCAATTGCAGGTGAGAACTCGACATTACATAAGGAGGTTGCTGTTCGGGCATCGTGACAACCTGGGATGTCGCCAGTGGGTTCTAAGGAAAACACTTGTGAAAAATGGTTGGCCAGAACTTCAGCTGTTTCTTGATCATTATTACATAAGTTTCCATCCGTTTTTATAAGAAGCGGTACTGATACTTTGGAAGATAGAGAGCTTCTTATGTATTTCAACACTTGAAATAAATAGATTTAAAAATTCAGATAACTTACTAAATGATCAATTAGATATTAATAATTCACCCTTATTAAATCTCTTTCCTAGTTTTCTGTGAGATAATCCCGGTAGTGTGCTATCTTATTATCTGATTGATATTATAATTACCTAAGTACCCTTATTTACTTTAAATAGTTAGTTTATTTTGTAATGTTATTGATGTTTTTCTTAAGTACTTTGTTTTGTTAAATTATTTCGTATATATATTGGATACCGAATTGTAAATTAGTCACATTTGAAAAAAGAAGTTGTACTTCGAAACATATGGTATGTTAGTGTTTTTAAAAATTTTTATATTTTTAAAATAAAGTTGTGAAAATCTACCAAATTTGGTTTTATTCTTTCAAGATTAAATGGATTTTCATCAAGTAAAGGCCGAAACAATAAATAACTATCTTTTGCGATGGGTCTAAAGGGAAACACGGTACAGGATGCGATTTTTATGTGGAAAATGAAATCTTTATTTCCCAATTTCGTTTACCAAATTATTCATCTGTTTATACATCGGATACTTTTGCAATTTTACAAGCAAATAGGTTATTCTTTCAGACTCGAAATCTATTTAACTTTCAATATCTAACTATTCGTGCAATATTAACAAAAATCCTATTATAAGAGAAATTATTCAGTCTCTCCTTTCTCTTCATAATTCTAAAATCAAGATCGTTTTCATCTGGGTTAAAAGTCATAAAGGGATAGTTGGAAATAAAAAAGTCGATTTTGCTGCTAAAGAATTCATTCTTCTTCCAACTACATATTAGTAATATTCATTCTCCTCAGAACATTTTCATGCAATGAAACGAAATGTTATATCAAGCTGGGAGAAACTTTCGGAACACTTTGTTGCTCATTCAAATGACCCATATACATTTATTCACCCTGTTCTTCCAAAATATATTCACCACATTACAAATTTTAAAATGTCTAGGTATTATTGTACGACTTTAACAAGGATGAAACTGAATCATTGGGGTTTTCCGTCACACCTTTCCAAAATTGGTATTAATCACCTTTCTGTCAATGCGACAATTCTTCTTTTGCTGATATCAACCCTCATTTTATCTTGTAGCCACCATAATACTCATCGTTCAGATTTTCTTAAAAAACATTCTTCCCTAAATATCCTTTTTCCATCAAGTATTTCTGTTTTATTAAGTTCATTTGATGAGAAAATATATAATTTTATTATTGAATTTTTAATTAAAGAAAATATTAAAATATAAATAAATAATTATTCCGTATACAAAAGTCTGTGGCAAAAAAAATTACGTTTTGATGCCAATTCTCAAAAAAATAAATGCAAATGTTGGGAAGGATGTTGGTTGCGCAATCACGCCAGAACGGATCTGGATGAAATTTGGCACAGAGATAGATTATAGTCTGGAATAACACATTGGCTACTTTTTATCCCGGAAAAATGTATGGTTCTCGTGGAATAGATTTTTTTACAGAACAAGGGATCGACATGATTTTTTGCAAAGTGGTAGTTTAGGCGTCAGAGAATGATATAGGCTACTTTTTTATCCTAGGGGATACCATAACAATTGTATCCTGCAGGAACCGTGTCTTAAACAGGTCTTTCGTTGAAGTTTGAGAAATAGAGTTTTAGCGCATTATCCTCAAGAAGGCTTACTCAATGTATACAGTAACAAAAAAATCTCTCTCGAGTAACGAAAACTGTTATTCACTTTTAACAATTATTCAGGTTTGAAAAATTCCAGCGAGGCGGGATTATTTAAAGGCCAATAAATTTATTTTATACCGATTGCGTTTGTTTTAGTTTTTTGCAAGAAATTTTAAGATTCATGTCCAGTTTATTTTGAAAAATTACTTTTAGATTTAGGGTAAAAAAAGTTTTAATCCCCTTTGTGTTAAAATATGCATTAACTATCAATCTTTTATTTAGTTTTAATTACAATTTCTGTTTAAATAGGTAGTTTTCTAAAATTTTATTTTTCTGAAAAAAAAATTCACTAAATCTAAATATACAACCGAAAATTATATTATATGTACTAATTGTCTAAATCTGCTTTGGGTTCAAATCGGAAAAAAATAATTTTTGTATATACATTTCATTCTATCCGAATTGAAAAAAAAACAGTTAGTATAGAGTGGTTAATCTGTGGTATAGACCTGGTATGGCCGCCATATTGATGCTTCACTTACGTCTATTTAACTCCGCCCACCGATGTCATTTTAAGAATACATGTTTAAACGAACGTAGCATCAATAGCCTACCTCCATGCTCTACACACTATAATACAAGAACACTGTGGAAAATTTCGTAGCCATTTGCATTTAAAAATTCTGTATCGGAGATTACGAGCGCGAGCGACGTCGTCCGAATACGTGAATTAAGGTCGCTACAACTTTTAGAATTGCCAGCCAGCAACATTCGTTGTCCCAAAATATTTTGAATGCTAGGGACCAATGGACCATATTCTACACCCTTCACTGATTATTACTGTCATCACTTATAGACTGTTGAAATGAAAATGACGAGAATAATAAATATTACTGATTAATTATTATTAAAAAACAATTTTAAAATATAAATATTTTTATTAAAAATATAAACGCTCTATAACCTAACAGATTAATAAAAATCATAAATAATATTTCTTTAGGGTAGGTACAAGTAAATCATTTCCGTAAATATTATTATATAACAATTGGTGTCAATCGGAATAGTCCATGGTTTTGATGTATTCCACGGCCGCGCAGAACTGCGTCCACCAGTATTCTTCTTCGCCGATCAATTGATTGTGGAAGAAGCTGTTCACGTACTGGATAGTCGATAACAGTGCTTCCGGATTCACCTGCAAAACGATTGCTATTAGGCATTGCAAACAAAATGATTGCCTGTAGGTATTGATATGGTAATCGCTTAGATAGAAGAGAGAAATATAACATACACCGGTGTTTAACCTGCGCAAATGTTGCCAATTTCTAAAGAAAGGTTAACGGAGTGGGAGAACTGGGCAGAGACCCAAACTCTGTGACGGGGACCGGACTTTGTATATTAGCATCATAATGAACTATTAGATTGATTTAAAATATATGTTTAATGGAATTTTGTATTAAATTTTTAATAAAATTAACGTGATTTTTTAATATCAAATAGATGCCACGACATTTTATGTAAAGAGAAGACCTTTTATAGAATATTTCGTTAGCGTTTATTTACTATGGACTTTTCAGCAAGTGACTACAGTAAAATGTTGAAACAGAATATTGTTAATAGAAAACAAGCTGTAATGTACTAGCTGTAGTACATTACAGCTCTTCTTTATCCTTTTTACAACTTATATACTAGTTTGTTTTTAAATGTGATAGATGATAATGTCAAATTTAATACGGCTTGTAATGCGACATTTGACAAGAAAATCCAACAAGTGCTAACCCAAACATTACCAGCAAAAAATAAATTTTCTGAAAGGAATTAAGGTGTGGTTAACAAAGAAGATAAAAAGATGGGAGGGACATTTTGATTATGACTATACATTTTGATTAGCACTATGCATTTTGATTAGAACTATGGGACGTGAAACCTTCCCCACCCCCATTCAAATGGCAAATGGTATACGATATCCTTACCTTGATTATCACATAAACCAAAACGGGCACAAAATCGTCTGCGGTGGCGGACGATCGGCTGTGAGACATAGACAGAAGATCCATGATGCATTTGGCGCAATGAACAATACACTTGACCTTGTCTCTGGGTGTCTTGTAGACGTTCAAAGCCGTCAGGGCGTCTTGGGCCGGCTGCCAAGGACACTCACGTAGATACAGCTTGTCGATGAGAAGGTCCTTGTGATTGGGTGTAATGATCTTTGATAGCTTTTCAATGTGGTTTTCCAGAACGCTAAAATAACGTTATAGAATCGGATACTTTATTTAAAGTATGTTATTTCTAATATGGTACAATTTTATACTATTTTCACTATAGTATAACAATTTTTATTCAAGGGTGGCTCACCTGCGAGACATACGTGCAATTCGCAGGTGAGTCACCCTCAAATAAAAATTGTTATACTATAACAGAAGAGATTAATAAACAGGAATTATTAAATCATTTTCTACAAAAATAAATTTTCTTCATTTAAGGGGATTTATTAATAAATCCTATACATTAAGCAAAACTAAAAAAAGGAGATAATTTAATGTTAAATCGAAATGCTAGAAATACTGAAATACTATTTGAATTAATGGACTAGGAAACAAAAAAAAGAAACTAAAAATATGTTCAAAGTTGGTTTGAAACAAAGAATTCAAATTAGCCAGTCTCAGTTCGTCATTTGATTTAATGTGTTGTGGGTGCAGGCTTTGTTAATGTTTTCCAGTGCCACTTCAGGAACAGCACCGTTAGTGAGAACCAAACAGTGAATAGACTGTACAAACATACAAAAAGCTGTAAAGGCGAGCCGCGACCACTTTACACAGGTACAGAATGTATTTCCTAGAAATTATCCTTCACGAATGAATTTTCCTCAGTGGATGATAAATAAAAAAAAAGTAAAAATGTTAATTTTATTAAAAAAAATATTTTTACTGATAAGGCCACATCTTCAACTGAAAAAACGGTCACAATTGGGATATTGAAAATACCCATCTATACCGACAAACACATTTTCAACACGAATTTAAGATTAATGTATGGTGCGGTATATTTGGAGATAGTTTGTTGGGTCCTTATGAATTACCAGCAAATTTGAATGGCAACTCGTATTTACAGTTTTTACAAGCTACACTTTTCGATTATCTAGAGGAATTGACAATTAATAGAAGAATCGACATATATTTCATGTAGGATGGAGCACCACCTCATTATCCTTTAATAGTGCGGAACTATCTCGATCATCAATTTCGTCATCATTAAATTGGCAGAGGTAGTGAATTTCCTTGGGCACCTCGAAGTCCCGATTGTAATCCCTTAGATTTCTATTTCTGGGGGCATATGCATGCATTGGTATACTCCCAAGCAATAAATACTCGTCAGGAACTATGGCAGCGAATTCTAAATTCCGCTGATTTTATTGCCATTTAACCAAACATATTTTTTAAAGTTAGAAGATCGTTTAGCGAAAGCATGGATAAACTTATTGAGGTAAAACACATTGAACATTTTTTATAAAAGGCTTTTAACTTTTGTTCATGTCCTTTTAGATATTTTCTTCTTATTAAAATTGTTGTTGTATATCAAATTTTGTTTTATTTAAATTCGCGTATTATACCTGAGTAACGATAGCGCGCGCGATCCGCGCACATCGAGTGGGGAGCTAGCCTGCTTGGGCATAGAGACTCGGACAGGGGTGGGAAACTGGTATGCGCAGGCCTGGGATCAATCAACCACGTCCGCGTGGCGCTGCAGTCGGGTGGTGGGGTAGGTGGTGGGAGTGTAAATAACAGGGGAATATTGATTTTTGTGGGGGTGTCATGGCGCCTTGGCTTAAACCTAACGTGAACTTTGTTTATTTATATTGGTGACTGTTGTATTCACTTGTTTTCATTTCCAATTTGCTTAATTGATTTAGTTGACCACTGTTAATAAGCTTGTTTTTCCATTATAAATTTGTGCTTTTTCCGCTGTTATTTTGTGGTTTTTCATAAAGATGCGTAATTATAGAAAATGTTGTGTACCGAATTGCCTTGTTGTGGACAACAAGATGCATCGCCTGCCTCAGCCTACGAATTCACCCGATTTATTTGATATTTGTGCACTTGCTGTTCGTTGTCCAAGATTTAATAATAAAACAAGACTACAAATTTATTCCACCTTTGTAGTATGTCATAAACATTTTGAAGAGAAGTATAAAGTAGTTGGCTCTCGTCGAGGTCTAACACCTGAAGCATTTCCAACCCTATTTCTACCAGCAGTTCCTGGAAGAGTAGCGGATGGACTTTCCTCAAATAACGTAGAAATTGAATATATTGATCAAACACCTACTTCAAGTAAAGGTTCGAAGAAGAAGCAGACTAATAATATATGTTGGACTTCTTTTCGAGAAGGAAAGTTAGTAATCTACTCATTTATTTTATACTTATACTGTGTATTTTCTGTTTCATGACATTTGGGGTTGCAAAGCTGTATCGTAGAAGAAGAAGCAGACTAATAATATATGTTGGACTTCTTTTCGAGAAGGAAAGTTAGTACTCTACTTATTTATTTTATACTTATTGCTGTGTTTGAGAATCCACATCAGATGCATTTTTTACATCTCGAGCGTTCTTTTATCCACATACCTATATATAAAACGTTTATTTAGTCAAAAAAAACTATTGTTTACATGTCAATACATCTTCACGTTTAAAATATAAAAAATACATAAATATAGAATCAACATACATTTAAAATGCAATAAAAAAATACATAAGATACAGTACACTTACATGTCAACTATACAAAACAATAAAAGAACAAGAAAGAGAAAAAAAAACGTCAATAGGTGAACCGGTATTCACGCAGTTTTATTTTAAATATTGCCACATTTGAAGAACATTTAATATCCTCAGGCAAATTATTAAAAGCCTGTACACCTTTAAAAAACACTGAATTTTGTGTACATTTTTCTTATTACCTGTTTAGGTTCATGAACATCCTGATTACAACTTAAAATATTTTGTAAATATACTCGGGAGATTCCTGATTTAATTTTAAATATAAAAAGCAGGGAATAGAATAGCAAATATTTTTTAACAGGCAACCACTGAAGCACATTCAACATGGAATTGATTGGTTCCAATCTCGAACAGCTCAGTATTATCCTCAGACCTCTATTCTGCAACTTTTGCAATCATTTCAACTCATTCTGGTTGAGCAAATACAGTATAGTGGCACAATAATTAAAATAAGGTAATATTAAGAGTATTATAAATTATTATTTTAGCCCATTTGCCGAGATGTGGAGAACAGCGCCTCAAATAGTTTATTTTAAATCGGACACATCTGTCCCATTACATTTACGTAAACTGAATCACATGATCAAAGTTTTACTACATCTCAGTTGCATCCGATGTGGATTCTCAAACGCGGCATATACTGTGAAATTTCTGTTTCATGACGTTTGGGGATGCAAAGCTGTATCGTAGATGTTGGACTTATTAAAAATAAAGCATTCCTCGGACTTATAATTTTTTATTAATACATTTATTTTAATGAGATTGTACTTATACTGTCTTTCTTTTTTCACAGCTACAGTTCTTCACAAAATGATGGACAGTGTTGTATCCTGGAATATGTAGCAGCCATCCAGCTACTTCATACATAATACAATTTTCATATACATTACATTTTTTAAATATTGGATTTGTATTATATATATTCTTTAATAAATTTATTTTTTGAATATTCTTGTTTTTTTTATCTAAAAACTGTTAGCCAAATTAAGATGTGTTCACACAAACTGCATTTTTGCTTTATTATAGCGATATTAGCTATAATAAAGCAAAAATGCAATTTGTGTGAACAAATCTTAATTTGGCTAACAGTTTTTAATGCGGATAATTTTTACTGTCAAATTTGAATAGCCCCGCGCTTTTCTTCTCTTCTTCTTTTTATTATTTTCTCTTCTTTCATATGGCCTCTTACCAGACAAGGACTTAATTGAAAAAAATCAACCACGTCCACCAGGTGCCGCTAAAAACTCTATCATCCTTTTTTAACATGGGAGATACCGTTCTAAGAGTAAGTGTAGATTTTATTATTAAAAATCATTCATTCACTTTACTGATTCGACCAGCTTAAATTCATTTATCCGACCTCGAAAAGTCTACTTCGATTTACGCTGTAAAATCATCGCCGAAACCGTAGTTAGGTACACCGAATTAATGTTTACGTTTTTTTTTCCTGTCGTCGGTTCTTGAGCTAAACGTCCGAATACCAGTTTTATTTGAGTAAATTATTCCGATTTCGATTTTATTTAATAGAAATAATAATTGACTTTAGATTTTCGTTAAAAATATTTTGATTTACAGATAAATTATTTAGTTTTGATTTTATAAACATTGGAAATTAGTTTTGGTTATTAGGAAGTAGAAATTTTGTTTCTATTTTATTAATTACTTAATTTTTATTGCGACCGTGGATTGTGTTTCTCCTATTTCAGAGTAATAGTAAACCTAATTTCAAATTAAATTCCGTATACAGTTAATTACTTAATTTTCATTGCGACCGTGGATGTTGTTTCTATTTTTTTTTTAAGTAATAATAAATTTAAATTTAAGTTAAATTCCGTATATAGTTAATTACTTAACTTTTACTACGACCGTAAATTTTGTTTCTATTTATTCACAATCTGGTTTAACTTTTTTTTATTATTTATGTTTCTTTACTTGGGAATAGAATTAGTTCGAAAGTTGGAAAGTTGAAATAGTATCATTTTTCATGTTAAGTGGACTGGTTTTGGCGAGAAAGCTCACATAAGATTAGATACTATCCCGATTTTAGATTTTTTTTAGATTAACCCCTAGCCGTGATTAAAATATTAGTGTTTTTCTTATGTTTGAGCGGGCTGGTTTTGGCGAGTACACTTCTCATAGGATTGATACTATCCCGTTTTCTTATCATTTATCTATTCCCTATTCAATAACACAAGGAGGTTTGTTTCAGTTTCAATACCGACTAGATAGTTAACCAGATAACTTTTTCTACGACCGTGATTTTATTTCTGCTTTTACGAAACAAAATATTTAAGTTCAATCTTTTTACCGATTTAACAGTTAACTAGCTAAATTTTGCTACGACCGCAATTATTTGCCATTTTTCTTCTTTAACTGAAATAGTAATTTTGTTTTTGGTTTCGTTTTGGCTCAACCACCGAACCCACAATTTATTAATTAGTTACTATTGCCACCGAGCATCTTTCTTTTAATTTTAATTATACCGTCTGATTGAGACTAATCAAAGCCGATCTGTTTGTTTTTCTTTTTGTTCAGGGTTTTAAAAATACGAGCGGGGGTGCGCGTTGAAATATTAGTTACTAATTATTTATTGTAAATAGTTAAAATTCAATATATGTGTCAACGTTACCTTGAGTGTTACTGAGGTTACTGATCCCTAATTTACTTCCCCCTTTATTTCAGCAGTGAGAAATTCTTTATCACCACAAGTAACGATTAAAGCCCGTTATTTGTGGTTACTTATTACCTGTGTCTGAGTGACCAACGACCCCTGGAATTTTTCATCTCCATCTGTGCTGCCCGAGTACTTTCGACGCCGTTTCGAAAGTTTGTGGAGTAAACCACACATAAAATCTGGCGCCCGAGAGCCGTCCCGCCAACAGGCGTCATTTGTGCGTAATCGTTTTCTCTGAGGCGAGAAAACCCCTTACACGTCAAATAATTTTAAACTACTGGGCACAAATAATTTTTATATTTTTAAATAAAACACCCTTCCCTGTAACTCAGTCAGGAGACACATTTTATCTAGGTGATTTGGGTTAAATCTTCATATTTTGAGCTCAGTTCTATAGTTCAAATATTTTCAATTAGTAATGAAACATGTACTAAATGTACTAAAAAAAATCAAGTTTAGCATATAAATAAATCTCACTCACCGGTCTCTATCTCTATCGCCGTCACCATTTGGATAAATAGAATTTTTATAGGTTTTGCTCATAATAAATCGCTCCAAAGTAATTTTTAAAGTCTTTTCTCTATTTCGTATAATACCTAAAAAAGTACTAAGGCAATTTAATAAAACTATAGAGGATAAAATTAAAATATTTAGAATGGGTATCAATGTCACGAACCTATTTGTTTAAGAACAAGTTTTTCTACTCATATTTTTTTATTTAAAAAAGGAAGTAGAAAAATAATGATTAATTAGAAACATCGCTTGAGACCTTTTTTAATTTGTATTTAGCTAGCGACCTACCTTTCCATGCAGAACTACTTTTCATCAACAAAAACAACTTAGAATAAAAATTCTGCAAGAAATGACATTTTTCGTCGGCCAAACTGAGTTGCTTGAATTCAACACAAAATTCTAATATCATCGATTCTTGTTCGGACAAAAATTCCTTGACGCATATTGCTGCCAAGTATTTCTCGCACTGGTACTTATCATTAGTAATTTGTTCTTGTAAACTAGAAGAAAAGAATAATATGGTAAATAACAAATGTATATTTTTATAATACAAGTAAATACAGCCGGTTGCAACGACGTTAATTAAAATATATGAGGGTAATAACTTTGAAAGAGCTTCAAATTATTCACAGTCAAAGTTAATCAGGCTACTAAATTTTAATTAACGTTTCTGCAATTGGTTGTATATCTATAATAGTTTTAGGCACGCATAAATTTTACTTAACGATAATTATTATTGCATTATTGAAAGTGAAAAGTCAAAATGTGTTGCCAATACAAACGAAAAATCTAAAACAAAAATGATGAAAAATGGCAAAAACAGGAAAAAACGGAAATTAATGTGCAAACATGTTAAAATTAAAAATTAACAAATTTAATAATATTAAAAAAAGGTAGAGAGGTGAACCACTCTCGAAATACTGGTAATTTTTCACTCGAAATTATGATGGAAATGAAATCCTGAAATCATCACCAAAAATTATGGCCGAAATTATTTCAAAATAAAATGTTCGCCACCAAAATATAAAAGCTGCAGGTGGTGGATTAAAAAAAAGTGGATCAAGAAACAATTGAAGAGCCCAAAAAAAAGTAAGAAGAAAACTTATAGACCATTCATAGGATAGGAAATTATATTCAGGGTATTTCAGAAGAACCATAAATAGGGGACTTGTAGATGTTAACTATAGTCTGTTTAAAAACCAGAAAGAGTAATTCGAAAAGCCTTACTCACACCACTAAAAGTAACTAAATTAGTTACTAAAGAGCGTGTTCCGAAATAGTCGCGTTCAAAGTCTCTAAAATAGTTGTCATTATCGGTCCGACTGGTCCTAGTCAGCGAACGGCCAATAAGAGATCTAGAACTATTAATTATTAATTAATTATTTACAAAAACTCTTTCGGTAGGAAAAAAAGAGCACATGTTTCCCTACAACATAATTAGATCTTCGACACTGATCTCACTCATTAGATGTTTATAAGTACCACGTCCTTAACGTCCAAAAATTCAATCCCAAACCCATATAAAACGTTTTTTCTTCTTTCTGTTTGTTGTCTGATTTTATACTCAACTGCAAAATTAACCGAACACGGCGTTTATCAGAAAAATATCGAAAACAAAAAGTTAAATCAATATAATTTCAAAGAAAAATGTTTGATTACAAATTTTTACAAAATAAACTAAAATTTTATTGCACCCCTTTAAAAACCATCGTTGTTTAAAAGGTTAGAAAAAGAGGAAAAAAAATTGCGGGACGAAATTCCAATGCCCAGTTAATTATGCGATTGAGTATTTTTAAAATAACCACACTAGTTGCAACTTTCATCATGAAATATGTGGCAGAACTAGAGTAAATGATTTATACATTTATTTCTCCCAAGCAGTGTCTAGTTATTTCGCTACATATGTCAGTGACAATAATATGAAGTAATTTCTGTCAAGATGTAAACATTCAGTGAGATTTCGTGTCTGATATTTATGTCATGAAAGAAGTGTCAGATGTAAACGTACTTTTAGCGACAAAATCAAAGAAAGTGCTTTTCCATCAGCATAACGCACCTGCCCATAAATCTGCGATTGCAATGGCAAAAATTCATGAATTGGAATTTGAATTAGTGCCTCATTCGCTATATTCCCCAGATTTGACTCCCATCGATTATTATTTGTTTCCAAACCTGAAAACATGTCTCGGCGGTAAGAGCTTTTTCTCTAACTTCGAGGTAATCGCTGCTGTAAATAGCTATTTTAAGGACTTATATTTATCGACCTAATTGCTAATTTGGATTATCGTTGGAGTAAGTGAGTTGAACGAACAGGAGATTATATAGAAAAATAAAACGTTTTTTGTTGAACAAAAAAAAAACTTTGGTTGTCTTTGTTAGGTCATATAGTTATCAAACAACCCGCTTATTTCGACTGAATTTTTGGCGCACTTAAGAGCGGCATGTGGCATATCTCGAGAATTGTTTATCTGGACAATTTCGGGAAGTGTTTTATAAAATCGTTTTTAAATTTGTAACTTTCCGCTATGTTACGTGATATATCATTTACAAAATATAATTGTATTCTCATAAAAAAAGATGTAAATAATTTTAAATCTAGCTTTCAGGAAAATTAAACAAATATTTTGAAGTGTGATGTGTTTTATTATTTTCCTGTGTTAGTTGTAGAGGTTGTAACAGAAAGAAAACGTAAATATGTTTAATTTTAAAGAAAATTCCACGTGGTTAGATATCAAAAGTCAGAAATTTTTTTTAATTTAATTTTTGAATAACCATATTTTTAAATAAAATTAACTAGTAAAAATATTAATAAAAACACGTTAAAAAATATTATAAGAACACAACTGGCCTCTTTAACCTTTCTTCAGCAACCATGCATTTTGTTGACTACAGAATTATATCTCAAGTTAAAAAAAAAATAAAACTAATAACACTAATAAATATAAAACTAGTACAAATACCCTTTTTTGAATATTTTGTCCAGTTTAATGCTTAATCATAATAATAATACTAATAAGGGAGTATAAATAGACCAATAGAATAACTTAAAAAAAAAGCAGATCATCTTAAAATATATTCAAAATTGGTTTGAAACTCCAAAAATACCTCTTAAATTGTAAGACTAAAAAAATGAATGAAAAGCTAACAAAAAATACTTGCCGAGACTCGATAAAAGTTGTTTAAAACAAAATGTCAGGAAGTAATCATTGTAGGCAAACCAACAGATGTAATTAGGGCAAGGATGCGAGAGATAGAAAATTACTGGATTCAAAAGATCTTTTTCGCTCATAACCGAAGCAAAATGGTCGAAAAACGGCAAAAATTAAAAAAAAAAAGAAACATAGACTATATAAAAATATGTTAAAAATTGGTTCAAAAAGCAATAGAAATACTTCACATACGAAAAATAAAAAACAATCTAAAAACGCATGACAAATAGCAAAAAAAATTAAGGAAAAAAAAACAAAAATATAAAAATAATATTCAAAATTGATTCGAGGTGCAAAAAATTCAGTCTTAATTTATTAAAATAAGCTTATAAATAATAAGAACAGCAAAAGACAGAAAACTGTGAAACCTATTAAATTTCAGTAAAAAAAACATGCAATTTTTGGAAATGTGAAAATACAATCCTTAATTTAGCCTACGAAAAGAATTGTATCTCCACATCCCCAAAATAAAAAAAAAATAAAAGAAGTTGAGAAATAAAGAAAAGAGAAAATAAGAGCACCGGAAAGGGATCGAACATGGATCTTCAGAGTATAGCTCTTGCCTTTATCAATTAGACCACCACAGCACATAGCTGCGACGGTAAAATTTGAACTCATTAGACTCCGACTCTCGTCGGTACACAAACACAAAAAAAAACAAGATTATTTATAACTCACCTATTTAAATAACTCTCGCAAAACAACAATTCCTGCTTGGAACAGGCCAGATACTTGACGTACGTCGACCGCAATACAATATCGTCACGCATCGAACGTAACAACTTCAGGCAACTGTCGTCGTTCAACAAATTGACGCATCTGATAGCCTCCGAAATTCTAGCGACGTCTGACCACTCTCGGAGCCGTCTCGCCTTGCCCAATTCCAAGCGCAACATTGTTTCGATTTTGTTCTTAATGCTAAAGGGGTTATTCTAAAAAAATATAATAATGATAGAGAACAAATTTGAGGTTATTGTCATTAAAATATTAATATAGTATTATTTCTGAAACCAGAGTTTTAATTTCAAATTTATTATTATTTTGGGTATTAACCGTTAATGGAGACAAATTTAAAAAATTAATAATAGCTGCGTTCAATGATTGTATCGGATTCTTGCTGCGATTGGGGTAACAGGATCAGCTTGCTGAATGGTACGCTCAATTTACAAAAATTAAATTTGTGTCAAACGACAATTCTAATTTAATGAAACGTAGCATTTGCAATTAAAAATGAATTTGTTTATTTGTCACTTGGAGTTTTCATCAACAATTTACAATAATTATTTTAATATTTAAGTATTTTTTTATTATTTTTATCACTACATAATGCACAACCAGGATGTTATAGATATATTTTTCAAGCAATCGCAAAGAGCGATAGGTTTTAGGTTGTTTTGAGTTGTTTTTAAAAGCATTCCCTATCAAATTTCTTGATCGCAGCAGAAACTAGCACAAAAATAAAACGTTCCAAAATGATATGGATCGATACAATGCGATACTTATCATAGAAAGAAAGCTATTGGTACTTTTAAGATTTATTTTTAGTATAATATTAAAGACATGTTATGTTTCCAAAGTATCAAGCTATCAGTTTAAAATGTGATATTTCTTAATAATTTGAAAAAGAAAAAATTTTATAAACGTCGAACGAGAATCGCTTCATTTCCAGTTTAAATTTAAAAACAAAAAATCTTATTACTAAATAAGTAATGTTTATGGCAATTTCGTTTAGTTTTTTTTTTAGTTTCTTTATAATTTTAGACATATTAGATTTGATCCAGAATTTCCAGGAGCGTGCCCACGAGGCAGGTCGTTGAGAATTTTACAGAAAAATAGTAACGCACAGTAAATTTTTGCAATTAAAAATACAAGTTTTTGTATCTCCTAATTTTGTTACATATCTCGCTTCGTTTTCGTTTTGAAGAGACGTTCAAAACTTTTAAATTTAATTTTTTTTTCTCGAAAATAAAGCGAGATACCAAAAAAATCAAGGAACAAAAAAGTTATATTTTTATATCTTTATTCAAAACAACTAATAAAATTGCAAAATCTACTGAGCGTTATTATTTTCGTGCAAAATTCCCTATATTTCACAAATGAAGCTATTGTGGACATACCAATATGTTTATAGCAACTTTTTTTCTTATTTTGACCTGAGGAATGTCCTTGTTAGGATTAGTTTTGTGTTTTGTTAAGGTAGTTCACTCGCGACAGTCATACACAAAAATATCGCCCTATAGTGAATACCAACCGTTCGAGATTCTTAAATCTAAAGAAAGATTATTTTTGTAACAGACTGTACACACAACACATGTGATCCTATATACAAATATGGTATTATATCGCGTAAAATCCATCCGGCAACGTCGCAAATATATTGTGAAACTGTATTCCTAAAGTGAAATATATGTAAATATCAAAATGTTTCATTGTCAGGATCAATTAATTGCGAGATAAAGGAAAATTTGTTAAGCAGAACGTCCTCAACAAACGCAAAAAATCAATTTTGGCTATGAATAATGCAAAAAAATTTAGTAAGGCAACCCCAAGCTTGAAAAATAACCTGTGCAGTGGTCGCATCGTGGAATTACTAGAGTTGGGAAAACATTTAAAATGTTGCTGGTGTAAAAGAGTTCTTTCTCTTGAAGATATTACAAATGAAACACGAAAGGGCCTTTATTCAATTTTAAATGTTTAATGTAATGAATGCAATATTGAAACTATAGTACCTATGGACAAAGTTCATGCAACAAAAAGTAAAGTTAAGCATTCAGATGTCAACACTAAAGCAGTTCTAGGTAAATTTAAAAAAAATACATAAGTATTTGTTATGTTCATAATTTTTTTTATTATAATTAATATAGTTTTATTTATTTAAAGGTGCTGTCCATTCAGGGTTTGGTCAAGTTAAAATTTTAAATTACTTTATATTCATTTTTTTGTGTAACTGTATTTTATTTTGAAGGCATGTTTAAATAAAATTATATTCATCTTCTGCATATTTATTTAATTTTGAAGACATGTTTAAATACAATTAAATTTAAATTGTTAAATCATATCAACCTAAAGTATAAACAACATCCCTTCCCAGAAGGCATCGATAAAGTGATAAACTTGACCTGTCCGCGGCAATAAAAAGGTTGGGAAGCACTGATCTAATAGACATTTGAATTAGCGGGCGTTGAGTGTATCCATTACAACGTTGCCAAGTTGTAATCACAATACGCCACTATGCGTCGACTGCTTCAAGAACACTTTTATTTTAAAAATATATATTTCTTTATCAAAACGGTAAAAAAATTCAGCGTTTTTTTAGAAAATTTTATAACTTCTTGATTTACATTAAATTAGTTTTTAAAAAAATATGGTAGGAACCGTTTTTGAGATATCTTGAAATAAATGCAATGGTTGTGTACATGACAGGGCTTCAAGAGTGTTAATTATGCACATTTTGATTGTTAATATCTCGTTTTACAGACGGTCAAATTTTTTTATTTTTTTTTAGGTACATAAAAGACACTTTCATTAACCTCATATTTCAATTTTATTGAATTCTTAAGAAAGGCCGTTTTACGAGTGAACTACCTTAATGTTTTAATATTCATTAAATTACTTTTTTTATATCATAGTTTTGAGGAATCCCAGTAATTTTGTTTAACGTCAAAAGAAAATAATATTGTCATTGTCAATCGTTAAATAAAACATTTAAAAGCTCAAAATCTCGTTCTATTATCAACAGTCCTCTTAAATTTGTAGCATATGTAGCATACTATTGTTTTTATTTATTTCTACTGAAGAAATATACTTGTATCCAATCTGGTAAAATAAGAAATTTAATTAAAAAAGTATCAGTTCTGTCAATTAGGTGAGTGACATTATTAGAAGATTACTACTGAAGTCTGTAATGTTACTGTAGTGTTACTTTTAGCAACTAATGCCATTAATTTAGTCATCCGAGATACAGGTATTGTTGATGATTCTGGTAAATTGCCATTCTATAATTTTCATATGTTATTTCATATCTTTATTTCGAATTTTCTTAAATTATTTGTAGTAGCTTATATGCTTTAAATATAATCTTGCTTGAAGTACTAATTATTTCACCTTCGTTTTCGCTAGTAGAAGATTTATTAAATTGTCAACAAATATATTCTTTAGATAAAACTATTGTCATCTAAAAATTTACATAAATGATAAATTTTTATAGCCTTCTAGAAAATAAGATATTTCAAAATAAAAACTGAATAGTGTGTTGCCTTTTAAAACATGATATATAGTAATTTGAGGGATACATGCAAACTGACATTATTGCGCCATCTAAGAGCAAATTACCGGTAGTATTAACCTACATTATTAGTCTGTGAAAAAACACCAATAGTGCGTTATAATTCATTGTGACATAAAATTAATACAAGGGGGTAATAATCATGCTCTCCAGGAAAAAGGAGCTAAGTCACATGCTGTTACATGTTTGTGATTACCACATGCTGTGAAGTAATTAAATTTGGAAGCTGTTTTTGACATCCTCATGTTGTTTGGTTTATTGCTAAATTATCATAGAGGAAGTAAATAGTGATTCTAATGGGGCATATAAAATTAGTGCTAATGTAAAAAAAAAGATAAATAAATTTTGTAGATTAACCGATATTAGCAAAAACCTACGTACCAATACAATAAAACTTTTCTTAGTTGATATTCATTTTTTATATTTGTGAATTGCAACTAATTACACAAGTGCACCTACAAGCAAAAATATGTTACACAAATATTGGTTGACAATAGAGTTGTTAAATTAGACAAAATTAGGACTATGGGCCACGTGGCCTTCCACACCTTTTCAGATCTATTGTGGATATCCTTTAATCGTATTAGAGTACCTTGTTTAGTTCGTTATTTTGTAGCAGACTCCATAGACTAGGAAGTCGTTGTCTGGCGTAGCTAGTTGCCCTTCGGTTTTCTTCTCCAAGGGTAAGGAATCTGCCTTGTCTTGACAGACCTTCACAATAGCGCAATATGTGTACTGTAGTTTTCTCCTATTTTTGACAGAATCGGCATAAAATCTCTTATCAGACCGATATTATACATATGTTTGTCAAGCCTACAATGCCCTGTTAATAGATCAAATAGTATTTTTCCTATTATGGCTTAGTTTGGTGAGTTTAGGAGATGGTCCTTTTAAGAAATCTTTGGCCTGCCTCTGTTCTGATGAACTTTTATACCATTTTTTAAACATTCACTGTTTTGTGCATGTTCTGAAAGCTATCTTTGTGACACCACAGAAGGGTTCTAGGTCATTAAATAAGAGCCTTTGAAGCTCCTTCTCAGGCTAGTAAATCACCCTCTTCGTTGCCTTTATGTCCTCTGTAGCATGGTACCCAGGCTAAGGTTAGTATGTTCACTAGAGTTTTTAAAGAACAGGTATAAATGCTGAACAACTCAGAATGGTAGGGTTCTTACCCGAGGACATGTTCACTTGTTCCTCGGTTCTTTTGATCAGATTGTAGCATAAATACATAATTTACATATTAATAAGTGTTCCCTTCTCTCTCCTCTGCCAAACTCATCATTTCTACTAATAAAATTTTACCCTATTGCTATTTTTTTAAATTTCTTTAGTTACATATTTTTATTTTCACAAATCTATGTAATAGCTATTTATAAAATGTTTCGAAATGCCTTGTTTAATGTAACGAGTGAATATTTGCGGAACGAGCAGAGCGGGGTCCCGCAACATGAACGAGTTACACAAAACGGCATTTCGTAACGTGTTAAATACAATATTTTTCTAATTTATTTATAAAATTGTGTATTGGTAAAAAATTACCGACATCTATGCAACCAATATAACTTTCTTGTATTGTTAGTTGCATATGCATAACTTCATTCATTTCATTGACAAATAGAAAATCATATAAATTTATTCCCAATGACGTGTTGTAGTGTGTTTTGTAGTGTATTGTGTTTTCAAATATTTTGTGCTGGTTTAGAATGGAAAATAAGGACCAAAATAACATTATTACTAGGTTGTAAGATTAACCAAATTCTATTTTTATATATTCAACCTTCCCTTCTTTAACATAAACTTTGAAGAATAATACTATATAAATTTATTTTAAAACAAAAAAGGTTTATTTTTATTTGTTTTCTTTTCGCAACTGGTGACAAAGAATTTTTCATGGCCAGTTTCATAATGTTCAATATTATGCAACTGGTTGCATATAGAAGATCATTTTGACACTTGCTGCGATTACAAAAAATGTCACTTTATATGTCGCCTTTTATGTGTTGCCTTTTAAAACTGTAATTTGAGGGATCGGAAAAAGGATAAGTCCATTTTTATGCAAATTGACATTATTGCGCCATCTAAAGCAAATTGCCGGTACTATTAACCTGCATTGTCAGTCTGTGGAAAAGCACCTCTAGTACATTTTGTAACATAAAATTAATACAAGGGAATAATGATCATGTGATCCAGGAAAAAAGGGGCTAAGTCACATGCTGTTGCATGTTTGTGATTACCACATGATGTGATGTAATTGGATTTAGAAGCTGTTTTTCACATCCTTATTTTGTTTGGTTTATTGCTGAATTATGACAGAGGAATTAAAGCTAATGTAAAAAAGATAAATAAATTTTGTACAATAACCAATGTTAGCAAAAATCAAAAAAGCAATAAAACTGTTCTTAGTTGATTTAGTGTAAATAATTACATAAGTGCACCTACAAAAAAAAAACATTGGTTGGAACTTAAAAATTATAATTACACTAAAATTTCAAAATGTAACTTAACCCGTTTTTACCCTATAGCCTACATTTATCTTTTTCATATTAAGAAAACACAGGTACTATTGCGTTTTTTATACTGTAAATTAATCATAACAAAAGCAGAGGCTGATAGTAATTGGACATAATTTTATTAACTCTTTGAATGCCTACAACGACACGCTGTCAGTCAATACAGCTTACGGGCGGTCCCATCGCCGACATGATTAGGAGTATAATTTCTTCTTCATATTAATTTTCAGACGGTTATTTATTAAGAGATCATTCTCCAGGAAGGTGACATATTTGCGATTGTAATTCATATTTTCTTCATTTTTATTTCAAAAGAAAACAGAATTAATGATTAAAACTGGTTTTCTATCAATAATGAAAGGCAAAAATCTAGCTCTTGCTGAATATTTACGATTTAAGGGATGTTGAAAAACATCCTAAATTAAAACCTTTCTACTTTCTGATATCTACTATTTCCAGTATTACTGGTATTGTTACAAAAGTAAAGTCACTCTTTTTCTTCTTATTGTACAGCTCTCCATTTATTTCTTTGATTTAATTTCCATTACTGAAAATTTATATAATTTCCACTGTTTTTTTTTTTTGCTAGCATTTTTTACAATTTACAACACAGCAACTCCGGTTGCTCGTAGTATTGTTTTTACCTATTTAAAAAAAAACAGTATAATATATACAAGTATTTGATACGCCAAAATTACAAAATATCGCCCTAAAGTGCTCGATTCATCCTTATCTTGCTTCCCCTACCATACTTCGCACTAAGTGAATTGCAACATAGTCGTGTTACATTGACTAAAAAGCTTATTATTTGTTATTCCGACCACCTACCAGGGGTGAACCATTAGTAGTAAAATACTAAATACGAATAGAATAGCAATTTTCAAAAATATTTTCCTACGAATATGTATTTATAATAATGTAATAATACTCTCCCTATAATTCATCCCCTTACTGAATTTTAACTCCAAAAGCTGACTGAGCTTTTTTTTAATATGGTGCCATCGGCATGAACTACTTCGGTCATTAGGCGTGTAGGCGTTGTTACTTTTTCCCAGCGCCACTGTTAACTAGAACCCTATTATTATTATTATTATTTGCTGCGGCGGTGCACTTACAGATGATTGATGGTTCCATTTGACTAACAGGTGAGAAAAGTCCGGAAAACCCCCCACCATCATCGAAACCGTATCGCATGGCGATTTATATTGTGGATGCCATGTAACGTGCATTTTAAGCAGCTCAAATTACTAGATTTTATATTCGACTTACCTTGTCAAATACACAAAAAAGGGTTAAAACGTTACTTATTGCCGATATAAGCTTTTAAAGCTGTTATTTGTTGTAAACTAGCTGTATGTATTGGTAACTTGCAGGTATCATTTTCATTATTTAATTCATCTTATCAATATACAGGAGTAAGGTAATTTATTCATAGTATGATAAGTGGCTAGTAATAATTTTTTTAATTTTGACCCAACTTGGCTTGTTAGAATTATATAGATTCACCTAAAAGAAAGCATTGTATCGTTGTGAATTCATTTATACATGTTTTGTTACCTCGAGAGAATTATTAGCAAGCCAATTTCAACGAATTTGTTTACTTCTTGTTCTAATTAATCATTTCTATTATTGTTAAAATTATTCCTAAGTATTCTTTTGTTATCGTTTCGGCTGTCAGACGAATAGGTTATTTTTGAGGTGAAGTCAGTCAAAAGAACACGATAATATACAGTGTCATGCGTTGGATGTCATTCAGGTCTTGTTCCGAAAGTCAGATAATGGAAACTTTACAATAGGCGATTTGACGTTTCGTACTCTGTCTGTGATAGTTTTGTGATATTCGCTGTACCAGAGGCGCGTTTGATTTTAATGGTAGTTTTGTGATGTTCGGTGTGCATTAGAAGATTTTTCGCAATCAGTTTTGTATCAATTTTTGTTAGGACAGCAATTTCAGAGTATTGTTTTGTTGTACATAGTTGTGTTTTGTCAGTTTCTTGGAATCTGTTAGGTTAATCTCTTGTAAATTATCCGTACGACATATTGCAATTTGCAGAACGTAATACAGGTTCCAAGAAATAGACATTTTATTTATACTTCATCCTTCAATACTTGTAGTTAAAATGAAAATACATATAGGTACATGTATTTATGTTAGACTCGCAGCTTACTAGGATTATTGTACGATTGTTTGACATTTACACGGAAGGCGTAGAACAATAATCTTTTTGTCCAAATGACAAAAAAAATGTCATTTATTGCTATACAGTTATACAGGTTACGTAAGATATGCTATTTTTTAACTATAACGAAAAATTCTGGTTTAACGAAGTTGTTTACATGTTTGATAAGAGATAATTAAAGAATTAGTTTTGTTTCTTACCTTAACGTAATGTGGAATTTCCCAAGTATTACTTAAAACTAAACGCAATTTATTCTTAATATCATTAAAGCTATTCACTTCTTCACTATTGCTCCTATACTCATTCTTTCCTTTTAGAGATTTACTCAAATCACAGTTTTCCTTTATGGTTTCGTTCTCGACGAAAGGCTTTGTTCGGTATTTGGCTAATATGTCATCGGACACTTCTGAAAATACATAATAATTCGAGTTAACAAATAATTATAAACACTACAAATAGATATTATTTTTCTTACCTGTACTATTACCTATCTTCCCGCAATTCTTCCCCATGAAATCATCGCTATCTAGCCCCATGCGAAACTCTTCCTGGTTCCTGAGACTCTTGCCCCTTCTGTTCTTGAATCCCATCCTCAATTTCCCGAAGAAGCCTCCACGTTTTGATCTACCGTCCTCCTCCAGGCCCTTATCGGCGCTCATATCGAAACTGATGCTCTTGGGGATCGCTCCAGTGGACACGGACGGTTTCAAGCCTCGTCCTACAAATTTTGATTTGATTAGTTAAATTTTTGTGATTTTATATTTCTATGCCTAATTTCATCATATCTTCAAGGACATTTGCAAACTTTTCAGATTAGCAATAAAAATACATTTTTTTTGTACCATACAAATCTATTTCTGAAAAACCAAAAATATATTTTAGCTTAAATATTCAACCCTTAATAATTCATTACAATAAAAGTAATTCCAGTCACTTTCAGACACCCCTTACAATACTAAAATTAAAAATATATATAAAATACTAGAATATAATTAATAAAAAAAACGCAGTATCGTGAAGCGGCAGTAACCTTCCCACCTAAATCCTCTCAAAATCGGTAACAATTAAATATTTTAAAACAGTAATATAAAGTCCAAAATTTTCGCAATTATATCTAACAATAACTTTCCACTAAAGTTAGATCCCGATCAAAACAAAAAAAATTTGTATTTTTCATCAAATATCGGTAAATTTTAGGGACATAGACCAAAAATTATAGATAATGGAACAGTGAAAAACTTTTCTCTGAAGAATTATCTTCTACAATCATAAATAAAAATACAGGGTGATTCACATAAGAACCGACATAGAGCAGGGGCATATAGGGGGTCCCAAAATATGGCAATTTAACGCAACTTACCTCTATACCAAGTTGCTTCCCTAAGGAGTTATAGGCTTTGAAAGTGAAGTTATAAATTTTGAAAAAAAACAATATCTCCGTTATTCTTGAACTTAAAGCAACCAAATTTGGTACACTTTGTGGATGTATTTAGGGCGTTACTTGACAGTAACTAGAGTTTAATTGAAATTTGTAAAGGGGGTATACTGGATGGCGCACCATTAATATTCAACAGAATTTTGTTAACCCTTGATGGATTTTAAAAATCTTTGCTTTGTTTTGTGGGCAATTCAATTCTTAAACTTTTCTTACTCTAGTAATTTTTCGAAAAAACTCATCATTTTCATCAAAAACTCGAATAACTTAAAACGCGCGCTCTAGGTGTGTTATTTAAAATCAGCGAAAATTCAAAAGTTGGCTATGAAAATAAACGTCAAACAAGAAAGTAGGTCATTCATTTAATGTGATCAGTAGGAATTGGCTGGCAAATTAATATTTAGATACGTAACAAAATAACTTAAAGTAAGTACAGATACTGAAATGTGAAAAACTGGGATTAACAACTAACCAAAATAAACACAAAAAACTTAAACAACAACCAGAACAAACAATTGTTTATCGATAAATTAAAGAAATTGTTCAAAATGATCGCCGTTTTCTCTTACGCATAAATTTATTCTTCTTCGAAAATTAAAATCCACCCTATCTAATAACTGTTGATTATTCCTAATAGATGTGCATTTATGAATAATGCGATTCCATAATTCTTCTTGAGACGCAACGGGCGAAGAATACACAAATTCTTTCAACGTTCCCCACAGAAAGAAGTCACATTTGTTCAGGTCAGGTGATCTTGGGGGCCAACGTTGTGGGCAATTATTTCCTCTTCCTATCCATCTATTGGGATACTGGTGGTTTAAAAAATTTCTTACGTTCATACTAAAATGAGGCGGTGCTCCATCGTGCATAAACCAATGTTGCAACCTTAGTTGTAAAGGTACCTCGTCAAGTAGATACGGAAGGGTGTTTTGTAGAAATTCTAAATAATTTTCACCATTCAGCCGATTCGGTAAAACAACAGGACCAATTAAATATCGATCAATAATTCCCATCGAAACATTAATTTTGAATTCACGTTGGAAATGCCGAGGAGTTATTGCATGTGGGTTTAAGTCAGAATACTCATGATAGTTATGGAGATTTGTGATACCTCTGCGAGTGAAAGTCGCCTCATCCGTAAAAAGAATTTTCTTTTGGAAGTTATTATCTTGGTGTAGAATAAACTGACAAAAATTGACACGATGAACCAAATCTCCGGGTAAAAGTTCTTGGACTTTTTGTACATGATAAGGGTGTAGTAGATTGCGACGGATAACTCGATGCACAGAACTCTGCGATATACCAATTTGTCGAGATAAATTCCTAGTACTAATATGTGGATCATCTTGAATAGCATTTAAAATGGCTACCTCAACTTGTGGCCTGAGTGCGACAGCACGGTCTCGAGTATTATTGAGAAACTTGCCCGTTTCTCTAGCTCGTCTTTCAACATTAGAAAATGTTTCTCTATGGGGAATGATACGGTTAGGAAATCTTCTACGATATTCTTCTACACTTCTTCTACAGTTTCCTTCACAAAAACCTAGCACTAACAGCATGTCAACTTGCTCGTTAAAAGAAAACTTCCCGTTCATTTTAAAAACACTCAAACAACAATTACTTAATTGAACAACTTACTTGCTTCATTGTCAAGTTTGACGTTTATTTTCATAGCCAACTTTTGAATTTTCGATGATTTTAAATAACACACCTAGAGCGCGCGTTTTAAGTTATTCGAGTTTTTGATGAAAATGATGAGTTTTTTCGAAAAATTACTAGAGTAAGAAAAGTTTAAGAATTGAATTGCCCACAAAACAAAGCAAAGATTTTTAAAATCCATCAAGGGTTAACAAAATTCTGTTGAATATTAATGGTGCGCCACCCAGTATACCCCCTTTACAAATTTCAATTAAACTCTAGTTACTGTCAAGTAACGCCCTAAATACATCCACAAAGTGTACCAAATTTGGTTGCTTTAAGTTCAAGAATAACGGAGATATTGATTTTTTTCAAAATTTATAACTTCACTTTCAAAGCCTATAACTCCTTAGGGAAGCAACTTGGTATAGAGGTAAGTTGCGTTAAATTGCCATATTTTGGGACCACCTATATGCCCCTGCTCTATGTCGGTTCTTATGTGAATCACCCTGTATATCAAAAAGTAGAAAGAACCCTTTATAAAGTATCATTCCCAGTTGCTCCGACTATACCTAAAATATAACCAGTCTTCAGTACGTAAACCCTACGTTCCAAATCCCATCGAAATCGGCCAGATAGTTTGGGTTGTATCGTGACTAACAAAAAACGTCACTCACATATGTACATGCGAACATTTTTTTAAAAAATGTTTTTTGAGTCCTTAGGACCCCAAAACGTAAAGATATGGTGTTATTTCAAATTCTAATTTTGGATTACTTGCAATACATTTTTATGGGTTGGTGGGGAGGTTAAAAAAATACCAAAACACAAAAATGCTAAATTTTGTTCAGATTTTTTAGAATCAATAGACTTTATTCCCTTACAGAGCTTGTATGATTTTTACTACTTTCATGTTGATATCGTTTTTGGTGTTTAATTTCTATTTATTTTTTATTTCAGCCCTGCTTTTAACCACCCATTCTGTTCAAACATTTGTTTTAAATCAATTGTTTTTGTCCCCTTATAGAGCTTGATTTTTGCTAAAAATGTCTAGTTCATTTAATGTTTTTGTTTTTGAGTTAATATTTTTTTTCAATATTTCAACCCTCCTTAACCCCTTATTTTTATTCAGATTATTTTCAGAATCAATTGGCTTCATCCCCTTATAAATCTTGTTTTTTTTTTTAGAAGATTTCAATTTTGATATCGTTTTTTGTTTTTGAGATAGAATTTTTTTAAATATTTTAACCCTCCGTTTTTATTTAGATTTACTTCAAAATCAATAGGCTTCGTCCCCTTATACAGCTTAATTTTGCCTGAAATTTTTAAATTGATATCGTTTCTCGTTTTAGACTTATCGTGCCGCCAAAAAACGTGACATTGGACGGACGGACGGACGGACGCAAGCGATTGCATAATACGCTTCAGACTACTGTGTAAATAAAACTAAAGCTAAAAAACCATAATTAAAAAATAAATACTAAGATTAAAAAAACACTAAAATAAATAAAATGTAAAATAAAATTATAATAAAAGAAAACTAAAATAAAAAATACCAAAACAAGAACTACTAAATCAAAAATTTCTAAGATAACTGGATCAAAAATGCTGAAATTACTAAAAAAAAGATTGGAAATTGTGGAGAAATTAAGACATGAAGAAAAACTCCTGGTAATTTAATTTGAGGATGACTTGTAGAAATCTTTGGGAAAAGTTTAGTCATTAATTGAACGAATTTTCACTAATAATTTTAGAATTAGGGAATTTAAATAAATAAATAAATAAATAAATAAATAAATAAATAAATAAATCAATAAATAAATAAATAAATAAATAAATAAATAAATAAATAAATAAATAAATAAATAAATAAATAAATAAATAAATAAATAAATAAATAAATAAATAAATAAATAAATAAATAAATAAATAAATAAATAAATAAATAAATAAATAAATAAATAAATAAATAAATAAATAAATAAATAAATAAATAAATAAGTAAGTAAATAAATAAATAAATAAATAAATAAATAAATAAATAAATAAATAAACAAATTTAATAATAAAAGTCGATATCATTGCTATTAGGCCAGTAAGCACGAAAAAATATTAACATTAATTCTAACAATTTTTAAACTTTGTGGTAAGATAAAGTACCATGAATGAATCCAAACTAGGCTATTTTGCAACTCGGTACAAGGTCGGCAACACTGTTAAAATAACAAAAAACTAAATTAATGGATTACTGGACAAACAAATATGTAACAGCTGCAAATTTGATATCATTTTAATTTCAATATAGCAAAGTAATTATATATTTTATTCTCTTTTGTAATTAATTTTAATAAGCTGCAGTTAGAAATTCCTCGAAAATCTAAATATCGAAAGCATATATTTTTACTTTCTTACACTTGAAACAAGTAAATTAATAAATAAAAAAAAAAATCAGTTCCCAATCTAAAAAATTAAACAACTAATGCAATACCTCTTCTTCTCAATGGATCGGCATTAGCTATGACTAGAAATATTCCAATACTCCCAAGTATCGAAAAAGAGGAAAATATTTCCCTTTTTAAGATTGTAAACTAAGTATACAGAGAAGGGAGAGAATTAAAAAAAAAAGAATTCGAATTGTTGTA